TATTAAGTCAATGAAAACAAATACAATAATAAATATATATTGTTATTTATAGTTAAAAACAACAATTAATAATCTAATTACATTTCAAATTATTTCAAATTGTCAAAGTTTATTGTGAATAATTCAATGAAATCAAATACAATAAATAACAACAATTAATAATCTCAACTCCCCCCGTTATATTCTAGAAATAAAAAACTCGAGCGATGAATTTTTTAAATTATCTTTATTATAATACAAAAATAAAAAAAAATAATTATAATGAAACACTATGAGCTATTCCGCGAAGATAACTCATTAATGTTCTGTTTTGGCGGTCATATATAATAAAAGACACTGTCGGGATTTCGATACAGTCGAGATTATGGTTGTCGGGATTTTGATATAGTCGGGATTTCGATACAGTCGAGATTTCGATCGTTTTCTTATATAAATATATGTATAAAAACAAGGACTAATTTTATAAATAAACAAGATAATTCATAAACGTATATAAATTCCATAAAAATGTTATCCGACTAATTAAACAAAGGCTTCGCGAAACGATCTTGACTTGGTAATTAATGCAATTCCATAACATATTGTTTCTCTATGTTCATTCCCAGCATTAATGCGTTTTGTTTAGCCTTTGAAAGGTGAGCATAATAAACAAGGAAGAGGTGCTATTAAATAAAGGAGTTGTCAAGGTGATCGAGCAAATCGAATTGCGAAATGCTTACTTGGCCAGTAACGGACTCCAATTCGTAGATCGCCATTTCGAAGCGCGCAGCAGAAACATACGTACATACAACAAGCAACAGCAACAACAGTAATAAAAAAAATATATAAAAATAACTTTGTAGCAGTTAGTGAAAACTAGTTGGTATTCAAATGCGATCTGCAGTCGAAAGTGAGAGTGCGGTGCATACAGCTGACACATATAGTTTGTCGGTTTCGAAAATTTAAATTGTGCATAAAGTGAGCAGAGTTTGATGGTTTAAAAGTCGTTTAATTTCGCTTATCTTGCGCCAGATACATTATCAATAAACTTATAAAAAGGCCTGACGACGTTCGGATAATTTTATTATGATTTTCACTCCTCCCCATTAACGAGCAAAGAGAATAAAAAATCGATTCAATAATCATGAACCAGAGCACCGAAATTTTGACCGTAAACGATGCTAATCAGGTAAGCCAAAATATAACTTCATTATACTACTATAGTCTATTTCTTTATTCACATAACTTATTTTTTACTACTCAGCTATTTCATCTTTTGTAATGGAAACCAATGTAAAATTAAACACGCAATAATATTGAAAAATACGTAACAGTAGATAACTATATATGATATAATTTAAAATAAAAAAAAAATCTACGACAGATAAACATATTTAGTTTAGAATTTACTTAATTAAAGTAATATTATATAAAAAAATCACAGGACAAACTTGATACAAATATAATTTCTGTAAATTGTATAAAATTCCATTTTTGTTATATATTTTTTTTATAAAATATGTTATCGATCGGTTAACGAACTTGTTTACTTTCGTATCTGGAATCATATTTATTTTGCTAATGTTATGAACATAGTCCGAAGCGAGACCACTTACAGCACAGACGTTAATGAGTTGGAGAGAAAGCAGTTGTTTATGCAATCTCCCGTGTAGTAACAGAATTTATAAATTATTTACATAATTCTAGGAACGTAACTGATAGAAAAATGATAAATTCTTGAACTGGAATTCATTTACGTAATTTAGTTTTACGTAATTTATTGCAAAAGTCTTGGTCCACAAATGTTATAATCTCAAATTGATATTGTAGAGAGAAACGGCAGCATTTTATTTAATGGATGTTTGATAACATGCTGATATTTTGCCTGGTAACAATAAAACATCTTTATACAAGATAAGATTACAGATATACTGTTATTATTATTTTATGTAATTGTGTCTGACACGGTGTAGTTTTTAAAATTTGTGTATCCTTACTTATTTTTTACTTTTCGTTTAAAGTATAATCAATTAGTCGAATTTCAAACACATCGTGTTAGGATTCATGTTTCGTGGACGTAAATAAACAAAGCGCTTGTAAGAACTTCGAAGACAATTTTAAAAGACTTTAACGTTTAAATTAAATTGAAAAATTGTTTTTTTTTTTTGCTTCAGTGCAGATAAATTGATGTTAAATGGATAAATGGAAGGTTTAAATTGAACATTTGCTTATGCTCTTAGTATTGAAAATTGTATGGAAAATAACAAATCCGTAAAGTTAATTATACTAACAATAATATTTATTGTAACAGTTAGATTAGAAATATAAACAAAAATAATAATCACATGAAAGAAAATTTATTAAAATACTACTATACTTCACACAGTGCTTGAAACCAGTCTAAATAATAAAATAATTGTATGAACTAATTTTGTAGAATATATTTTTAATTTGCTCAATTACAATTCAGTTTGTTTTGAAATTTTCAAACCGAACTATAGCTAATCCGGACTAATCGAAGCATAGCAATTAAACAGAAAGATATACATTGAAACCTCGCTTAACTAGCAAAATGAATTGTAAAAAAATGACTCGCTTAACGAGCGACGTTTTGCATAACGAGTGACGATGAGCAGAGAAAAGAAGACATATTTTGTGTATTTTTGAAAATGTTCACTATACGAGCATTTCATTATACGAGTAAAAATCCGGACATTTTGGAACGGTTTAAACTCGTTAAGCGATGTTTCACTGTATGTGTTAATGTTTCTACCTGGATCGCTGCAGCGTCCACTTTGGGAATCACTGATTTATATTAATACCGTCATATCTTAATACAAATTCACAAATAGTCAACATACCAAAGATCATTAATTCATTAAAAAAAGATAAAAAAATGCACAAATTTGCACAAAAAAACATGTTTCATTTAATTTTTTAAATAACTTTTTAATTACTAATGATTTTTTATAAAAATTTTATATTTTTTTTTTTCTAAAACCTTTATATAGACTTCATACAGTTCACTTTCAAAATATCCAGTATCAACCAAGGACAAACCGATAAATTAATAGTTTCACATTTGCACAAAAATATGTTATTTGCTTTACGTAATATTTCCTATTTTCAATTATAGGAAACAAACAAAATTGATATGACATAGATTAATTTATCAAGATGGAATAGTGTAATGACTTTCACAATATTTAATCTCAATATTATCAGTTGTATTAAAAAATAAGTTGTTTCAATAATTACCTTTAGATAAACCTATTTTTTTATAATAAAATGTTACATTTTACTCTGTTATAGTAAATAATAAATAATATATGTTTGTTTCAGGCACCTTGTCCAGAGACTTGCAACACCAAGAATCCAAAGCAACAGCAAATCCTCGTTGGATGGAACAGGAGTAAATCGTACTTTTTTATCGGAATCATGGTTTGTTTGGTTGCATGGGCCGCAATCTTCTTTCCGTTGAAGAAATCTTACGACTTGTAAATATTTAAATGTAAAAAAAATACCTACGGTTCTATGATATATTGTTACCAATAATGAGATTAATTTTTAACCAGTATGTTTGTTGTTATGAATAAATAATTAAAAAAGAGATATATGTAACGAATTATTTATTTGCCAAAACATTTATATAATAGATGATAAAAAGCACTTAGTTGATTTTCTCGTATCAACGAAAGATTTAAAAAGTAAAAACAAAAGTGTATTACGCAGAATATCTAAAGATTTCAATATTTGTTTTTATTTGTAAAAAATATTCTTATTATTAAACCACAATTAAGAACTTAAAAATATTACATATAAATTACTATGTATTGTTAACATACACATCAAAAGGTATTGTATATATAAAGATATCATTACAAAATATAATAGGTTGTGTAATAAGTTCCCGTTTTTTAAATTTATTTTTTTCATTATATATATATGCATTCGCAAGTATTTTTCTTGCTCTACAAACCTGTCTGCTTCAATTTTTCGAATTAATTAATATTAATCAACATTCACACTTTTCAAATAGGGATTGTTATATTTCTCCTTTCCACGTGGTCAAAAAAGCTATGGATGCAGTTTACGACTTTTATGACGTGATGGGGTAGATGCTATAACTCAGAGGACCGCTGAAAATTGGGTTTCCAAGTTCAAGAATGGCAATCTAGATCTCCATCCCAGGAAGACCATTATTTGCGACTCATGAGACTGTAAAGGTGTAATCTTCTGAGAAATACTGGAGAAAAACAGGTCTCTCAATGGTATCTCGCGCAACTTCATCGCGCGAACGAAGCAATTCTGCAGAAAAGGGCCGATCGACTTAGTCAAGTCATCTTTCTTCACAAAAACCGCAACCATCATCAAGGAGGCTCTGAATAATCTTGAATGGACGATCTACCGCATCATCCATACTCTCCAGACCTTACGCCAACGGATTATCATCTTTTCTGTTCTATGTCGAAACAAACGAAGGGTGTTACTTTCAACAATGACGGAGATTGAAAATTTATTAAAATGTCTAAAAATTGATTAAATTGCTTATTTCGAAAAATTAAAGCATACATGTTTGTAGAGCAAGAAAAATACTTGCGAATGCATATATATATATATATATATATATATGCTTTACCTAATAAAACACAAAGTTGCGGGAAAAATTTAAATTAAAAAAACGCGGAAACTTATTACACAACCCAATAATTTATTTTAAAGGAACATTTTTTTGTATACAATATGTCATAAAATAAGCGTTACTATGACATTCGTTGACAGATTTGACTGAAAAACTGACATAACCTTAACATAAAAATGACATTAAACAAAAATAGAAACGATTATAATATGACACTTGTCATATTACTTAATAAAATAACATTTAAAATTATGCAATTATAGCATATTAAAGCAATATTATAATAATTTCCTTAAAAAATATAATAGTATTAGTACACAGTACACAGTACATATATCAATAATTTGTTGTTATCTTAGCTGTTCATTAATTCTCATTTTTATATATTTTTCTTAAATAGATTTCTTATTTGATGCAATAGATGGAATCTGAAACAAATAATATTTATTATATATGAATTAGGACAAAAGTATATATGCATACCACTCGTTTCTGATACGATCCAGGCTAAGAAACTGGAAACTCTGGTATTCACGCTTGGATATTGCGAGGCGCATCCTAAACCATAAGAAATGATACCCAGTAATTGGTCTCGTTTAGTGTCCCTGACATTCCAAATCAAAGGACCGCCGGAATCGTATTGGCAGGCATCTCGTCCTTGGGCGTAGGTGCAGATTTGTGAATTGAAGACCATATTCATGTGCAAAGCCCTTTGACACTCGTCGTTTGGTATCACACTCACGTTCGTTGCCAGTAGAACATCTGACTTAGGTCCTGAAAATTCCGTCGTTCCCCAACCTATATTAAGTAATATAAACAATGTTAGTTTTTAGGAGAAAACAAATACTTCAGTCATTTCCTATATAGTATATGACTAACCTAGCACTGTAAGCGAAGTTCCAATGAAATTTCTATTAGTATATCGGAAAGGTAAACAAACGGGTCCAACGCTTTCACCAAACTCCATCACGTTTTGCGTTTTCAGAATTGCAATGTCGTTTCTATTAGTTCTGTTATTGTAGCTCGGATGAGAGACGAACTTTTCCAAGGTGTACAATGCAGCATGAGTTGTCTCAGTACCTACAATTACAATTAATTACTCTTAATAATAATATATTAATATTTTTTATTTACCTGTACTTAAGTCGTGATCTCCTACCAGTAAACCTAAATCGGTAGCTACTTTATCTACCAGACAATGATTGGCAGTTACCGCGTATCTTTTGGATATTATAGTTGCTCCACAGTACACATCTTGATAGGGTATTTCCACAATTGCCGCCATATAAGTGTACTCATTGATTCCAGCCTCAATACCTCCAACAATTCTTCTCTGAAATATGGAAATTAATCATGTTTCAGTATATCTACTAAAAGAACCTACTTTTTTCCGCCAACCACAATCACAAGTATTCGGTCTTGCAGTTGTAGAACTTTGTGTTCCATCTTCACTTTGAATGGCAGTTAAACTACAAGAAAACCTTCCTCCAGCTGAATACCACACTGAGAATAATCCTAAAAATATATACTTATTTGTAAAATACAGCTAAGAGAATTGCATTTACTATAGCTAAAATAAAATAAATATTGATATTTTTGCACAATAAAAACTGTTAACGTTTTATGCATGTATTTATTACCTAATGCTAGTGCATTTTCAGCTGAGACGACGTTGATGGTACCAATTCCACAATACCTGTTTCCATCGGTCAGGGATGAATTTCCCGTTAAAGAAATAGTTATATAATCCGCTTGGCAATTGTTACTCTAAAATTATAATGATGATATAAACAATTGCATTTAAAACAATTAAAAAGTTTTATTCTTACAGCTGGTAAATTTATATCTGGACAAGACATGACGATTCTGGTATTAGGTGGGCTTTGAGCAACCCATCGGCAATTGGTTCCTGGTCCATAGCTCTCTGGATACTCTTTATTATAGATGAAATACTCTTGCCCTAATTCCATGTATTGAAAGAAGTCGCAATTCGAATCGAAGGCCACCGACATTGGGAGCAAGAAGTTGAATATACCCGTTAGAGCCATGTTCTTTGAATATCGCTATTTCCTATAACAAATATAACAATATTTATCTTTCAAATTAATATGGAATTGGTATGAAATTAGAAAGTTTGATATATTTAATTAGTTTTTATTTGATATGTTTAAGATGTATTTTAAAATTATCATTATCATAGCTAAAAGCAAAGAAATATATAATATTTTGTTAAAATATTTTCATAAAAACTATAAGTTCTTCATTGAATAATGCCATCTAACGTATTTAATGAATACTTCATGTATTTGAAAGTTAAACGCTTGATGCCATCTAGTGAATATTTTGGGAACTTGAAGTTGCGACGGTAACTAAGCAACATATTCAAAACATAACGCGAAATCAACAATGCCTTCTCAACCATTAATTTCTATTTGTATCAGTGCCAAGTAAAATGTCCTATACCTGACAGATTCTGCCAAAAGAGACGCACTCAATTTTATCGATTAAACAAATTAAATCAATAGATTCTGTGCGTGCATTGACTTGCAAGTAAGTGCATTCACATTGTACAATTTTGGGACGAAGTATCGATTATGGAAATTTCAAAGTTAGGACTATTATGAGTGATATAGATGCTTCCATTCTTCAAAATTATCGGAGGTGACAATATGCAACAGCATCAGCAGCACGATATTCCTGTGAAACCGAAGAGAAACAGGAAAATCGAGGTTCCTGTGCATAAATCGGACTCGAGAAAGAAATGCGGTGCCAATGCAGATGCCATCAAGTGTTCCCCAACAAAAGTACAAATACACCAAAACCCCGACGAACTGATCGAGACTTCCAGCAGAATAAGCAGAAGGATCCTGTCGAGAGAGAACGAGCGTCTTTTGAACGCGAATCAGGAATTGGTCAACGCCCAGGATCACCTCTCCAAGAAGAACTGTAAGCTAAAAGAGAAGTTGAACCAAGTGATAGGAGCTAATGAGGAATTGGCCAATGAGATCAACTTATTTAAAGCTCAATACGAAAGTTTGGCGGTGCAATTCGCTCAATACAGAAACGAAATGGAGAAGCCAAAAGTTTGTGCAACTTGTTTAGATTTAAACGATAGCTTGGAACAAACCAAGCGAGAATATGCAGCTCTTAAGAAAAGTAATCAAGAGTATCTTGAGGATTGCAACATGCTGAAGAACGTAATATATCGTCTCAACATGCAGTTGGAGAGATACCAACAGAAACTGCAGACGAACAACTTACCCACAAGCCAAGAAAGCGAAGGGGAGATAATTGCACTTGGCGACGGTCACTATGGTCACAAACACTCTCCAATAACTTGGGGTAAAGTGAACGCTCATACTTTAGCCCCATTATTAAATGCTTACCAAGAAACTATAGCAGAAAAGGAAGAGATAATTGAGAGTTACGAAACGGAAATGGTGCGGTTCACAGGTAAACTGAAGGAAGTAATTAAAGAAAACGAAAATCTTTACACGAAACTAACCGAAGATTCGGAATGTAGCAAAGTTCTCAGCACGCAAATCGATCAGTTAAAGGATGAACTTAAAACCACAAAAGATCAGAACGACTTGCTAATTAAAAAGTGCGCTTTGAAGCAAGATAAAATTGAAGAAATTCTCAAATGCTACGAACAAAAAGGTTTGATTTCATTAATCACACTAATTCTTATAGCTCACAAAATTATTTTCAGAGCGGGATTATGCAGTTCTCCACGATCAATATTGTAAATGTAAATCGGAAGTTGCGGTAATCAAAGAAAAGAATAAGTCTTTAGTGGATGCTCAGGACGATTTTAAAAATGAACGAAACCAATATATCCCCATCACCGTTCATAACGCAAGCGTCAATGAATGTAAAAAGTGAGTTTATCAAAAGATTTATGAATATTTATAAAGATTTATTTTAAATTTCAGATGGTATGAAGAGTTGAAAATACAGTATGAGAATGAAAAAACTAAGTTGAGAGAGTGCATAGATCAACTAAAAGAACAGATCAATGAGTTTAATTTAAAGATATCGGCGATGAATGTAGAGAAAGCTGAAGGCGAGCAAAAATTAAAGAATTTTGAAAAGCACATGAAGTGAGTGATTGGATTGAATTTAAATTATTTTATAATGTGGTTATTTTAGAAAAGCCGAAACTAAATATTTGGAATTGGAGCATACGCTGAACGAGGTGCAATTATCGCGAAGCGCTTGTAGAAAGCAACTGCACAAAGCTATGAATTTCGCTAAAGATTTGGTCACTGAGCAGGAATCCTTGTTGAAGGCTTTGAATCAAAGACAATTGGAGAACAAAGCCGTTAAAAAGATTGGCTCGGATATAGCGAGTCGGATGGATATACTTCGGAATGAATTGAAGGTATATTATTTTGATTTTGATAAATAACCTGCAATTGTTTATTCAAAACTGTATAATAATACAAAATTATGCACATCGATGTTAATCATTGTTCTTTTCTTTTTTTCTATTCATTTCAGTCAGTTCAAAAGGAAGCATGGCATGAATTATCTACTGTGGAAGAGCGATTGCAAGAACAAGATTGTATAATTACGAATATGAAGGAAGATCACGAGCTGGAAGTGCAGCGATTGAAGCAGATAATTAGAGAGAAGGATAATAATTTGTTGGTGAGAGATAGGTCCTCCGTCACGTCTGGAAATTATCTGTTGCATAATGATAGAAATGTACATAAATGATCTGAAATTATTATTGTCATAGTGTAATAAGTACAATAAATATTAATATTTCTTCGTTAATTTATGTAAGCTCTTTGTTGCCGCACAAAATGGTTTGAATTCTTTCTTCGCTTTCAAATTTCAAAGCAGAAGTTAAGAACATGAATGATAGATTGCAGCAGCTGCTTTAAAAGAAAATTAAATAAGATAATTTAAATATTTCCAAATTATACTTAGTTCATTATTATGAGTAATCTACATAACTTTTTATTGTAAATTTATATATTTGGTTATAGAATCAATAAATATACTGTTATTATTATAAGTATAAATAAAAAATTAATTGAAATTGATTAATTAGTATGAATATAATAGTATTATATTCATATATAATTAATAGCTTAGTATCCTTTTTAGATGTAGATAAGATTATCAAAGAAGAAGGAGAAAACTTCAAAAATTGATTTTGTAATAAATTAACCCTTTGCAGACAGATTTATATTTATAATATTATCAAATATTACCCGAAAAGGGGGTAGAAGTAGGGCCAAAGAGATTTATATCAATAATAAATTGATGTAAATCTATTTATATTTAAAAAAACGTAAATAATGCTTCAGCAAAAAGTAAATTCAAATATAGGCAACTCAAATTACAGCTTTAAATATTAAAATCGTAAATTATGAAATACAGGCTTATCTGGTTAGGTTACACATTGCATAATACATACATCTATGATTTAAAATAAATGTAAGTACAAATTAGACACAAAATAATCATAATAATTAGAGAAAAAAGGTTTAATTCTTAATGCTAGTATTATAGTAGGATTGAAACTTAAAGGATTACCTCTATTACTACTAATTGATCATCGTACATGAAAATCCATTCAAAAGTATAAATTGTTTCGTATACATACTATAAATCAGTGATTCTCAAACTTTTTGGGCCGCGACCACCATTTGAACCTACAAAGTTTCTGCGACCCTCCGAAGAATGGATATATGTAGAAAAACAACATGGATTGACCTGTCATTAATTTTTTACGACCCCCGTGGGGGTCGCGATAAAATCTTTGAAAATCATTGTTAGAAATTAATATATCGAATTGTTTAGAAATTAAACTTGCAGTAACATTCTTGAAAAAAAATTCTCAGTTCGATTTAAATAATAGTTTTGCTTGAAAAACTGATGAAAGATTGATTCAAATTGATAAAATATAGTTAATAACGTAAATATATTTGATCGGTTTTCAATTTCAATTTATATAATAACATCATTAATTTAATTATGATATCATATCATATTTGTCTTCTCGGTTCATTAATTTTATTACAATGATAAGACGTCAGATGCATTAACTTATCATTAAACACTAATGTGTATATTTTTTTTCCATGTGAACTCAAATTATATAACAAAAAAGATAATTACTGAACCTTGACACATAAGATTATGCACGGACACGTCGGAAAGCTCAAAGAAAAAAATATATAGTTACGCAATGCAGATATTTTCACAAAACACCGTGTATAATACATTTTTTTTAACTTTATATTTTTCTTTGGGCTCAAATCGCATCGGTCCAGTTTTTGATGACTCCTCCATACGTGACTCCTGAGTTAATCAAGTAACGAATGACATCAGAGAACCACTTCGGAATACAAGTATTCCAGATTGGTAATACCTTCGATACGCCCACACAGTCTTCCAATTCTTTTGGATAAGAATAATTTCTATTTTTAGATGCAATAAATCCCGGTTATTTTATGCACACCGGAGATATGATGTGTTAATGATTACATCCAATAGTTGCATAATATTGGATATATAAAAATATTTGCGCAAACCATTAGAGAAGAACCGTTGTACTAGATTAAATTTAACTTTTTAAACGTGATTAGTTTCACGTTCACGAACCTCAATAGTAACTCTATTTATACTTAAATTATCTTGATATTTGTTGCTATTTTCTTTGACTTCTTTTACGGTTTAAACTGGGAATACCTGTCCTTCATAAATAATTTTGAAAATTATGTGGCAATACTTTAACAAAATAAATATAGATAATTATAAATGTCATCAATTCATTGAAAATTGTCACAAACTTTAAAAAAGAAATCTCAGTAGGTCGACAAATCACACTTTTACGACAAGGACTTACATGTGTGCTGTCATGCATCTTGTTTGATTTTTTTTCCTTCTTCTCTATTCCAAGCTTAGTAAGTGTGCGTCGTTTAGAATAGGAATTAACACACAATTGATTCCACTCCGACATTTATATTCCACACTTTTCTCTAGGCAAATGTCTTCAATTAAGATCAGAAGCTGATATCACGACCTCTCCATTACAGACTTAATGATGCAATATTTAACCGAGAGTGGAATGTAATCAATTTAATTGGTACAACTTAGAAACATATTTATTTCTACACAAATCGGATGCATCCAATTTTATTTATAGACTGCAATTAACTGTGATCATAACAAAGTGGAAGACTTATCAAGGTCTTATAATATTTTTTACACAAAAATGATTTTTTTTTTTTAATATTTGTTTCATCTTTACGTACAAAATTACTTTTATTTATACAGTAAGACCTCTTTTAGGATTCGTTTTTAGAGTCAAGCGTTAAAAGAAGTCACATTAAGATAAAATAAATAAGTAAATTTAATAGTTTTTGGCTCAAGTTGATCGCGTTATATCGAAGCAGCGTCAATCGTGGAAGCGCTAAACGAGGTCTTACTATACTTGATGTAAAACCTGTATTCATTCAGAATAACCAAAGTATAATTTTACAGAAAAACTTTAACATAATGTCAAAATCATTGTACTTTACACAAAACGCTAATAATAAAATGGTATTAGGAATAGTAGATTTGTTTATTATTATAGAAATACTAATTTGTATCAACTGCAGTGTACATAAATCGGAAAAAAGTTGTACGTTTCAATTTCGTATTATTAACATTGTCAACAATCTTCTTGTAGTCCAATTAAAATTCCTTCTCACCGTGTTATGGTACCATACATTTTTTTTCCGTCATATTACTACAATGGTGTCGAGTTACACGGAGGAATTTCAAAAAAAGAAAGAGATATATAGAGAGAAAGAGAGATAAATATGAACGTAATAATTCCGTATTCACTTTCCAAATGCATTATGTTATTATTACGTTTCGAAGAAATTGCAAGTGCTGCTTTCTAATTATAAAATATTTGCTAAAATCGTGTATTATGCAGTGATTTTAACACGCGGCCGTTAATACTTTCATTGATGTTGATTCAAAAAAGGAACGCATGTGAGCAAATGAAAATATTAACACATTGAACTTGAATTTAAAATATACGGATTATGTGTGTACTGCAATTCCCCGTATAGTGCGGCTTGGATCAGTTCATTCATTATAGTATGGTTTGAAAATTTCAAAGCGAACTAAATTTAAATTCAGCAAAATAAACAAGAATTATAAAAAAAATTACACAAAATTATTATATACAGTCAAGTCACTTTTTGTAAATATCCTCGATTAGTCCGGTAATTTATTTATTTGCTATTCACAAAAGTAGTGACAATCAACTTTACATTTTCATACATCAAAAATATGATACATAGGTATACATATTAATAATACGTTCATACTTTTATATAACTAAATGTATATATGCAAGAATTTATATTTATTGCATAGAATAAATAGTTTATTCAATGCTTATGACTTCATATCGTTATAATGTTTATTGCTATTCTTGTTATAGTTAAATTTTATGATTATCGTTGATAGCTTGACTGTTCTACTTTTAGAAAATCCGATAAATTTTAATATTTTTGATTACTTGAGTTCATTGTTAATAACGTTCTCGTGATTCTGTGCAATCTCTTTGTACACGCCGAAAAATGCGCAATCATCATATTTATCTCAGTAAAGTAATCTTCGTTTAGACAGAAGAACGTATATTAAGAATGAAGGCCTTGAATTGATTGTTTCACATGATACATTGTATATTTTAATGTAAATCATGTATTCAAAAACAGTTCAAATTCGAGACGCGTCAAAAATTCTACGTGAATATTAGTAATAGATTGAAAATGTAGTATACAACATTAGAAATGATAAAAATACAGATGTATATTTTGAAATATGAAGCGCATTTGCTATGTAGTAGCCTCTATGTCTAAGACACGACGAGTTATAGCTGATTTGTATCAGGGGTTCCCAAACTTTTTCGGTTTGCAGCGCCCTTAATATATAAGATTTTGGGAACCTCTGGTTTAAATATTACTTATTGGGGCACGAAAAGAATGAGTCTCGAACACTAGATAAAAAAATAACAAATTATTAGCTGCACATACTAGGTATGCGTTAAAATTACATATCGTGATTATTACAGGTAACTTGCCAAGTAATTCACTTGTATATCATGTAGCACAGTGGTCCCCAACCCAAAGGGCTGCGTACCGGTCCGTAGATCAAATGGTACCGCGCCTCACAAACACCCAGATGGAATCGCCTCGTTGCAAATAAACAAGCTCATGGTTCTCATTAATTTAGCGTTAAAATGTTAAATCACGTCTCCCCCCCTGCGGTCCGCGGTAAAATTATCAAACCTTGACCGGTCCGCGGCGATATAAAGGTTGGAATAATAGTAATAGTAATTATAAATAATATAAAAGTAGTGCATTTCGCACACTCGATAAGAGAGTAATACAAATTAGGAACTGGTTTTCAAAATTGCCATATATGGATGGGAACACGAATTCTCGCGAATCGACACAAAGAATCAGCTGCAACAGCAATACTAAAACATTATAACAGTGATTTTCAACCTTGCAGCGAAAATTTGAAATTATAATTAATTCAATTATTTATCAAATAGGGCGACTAATACCCGAATGGGTAGGGCACCCACGATTTCGTGGGCGCCGGTTCGAATTTTGGCCCTTTGTGAGCCCTCTCGGTGCTTGCAACAATAGGGCCATCGTTCATCACAGATGGGCAGTGAAATGAATTGGGTTCGG